GAATTCTAGCTGTTAGAAAGGTCCAAAAAATGGAAGTTACGTGTGCAGAAAACCTGACCACTATGCTCAAGATTGCAGGCATAACAAGTCCAAAAACTATATCAATGCAAATCATGTAAATGACGATATAATCGCTATAGTGAGAGAATAATGGCAATCAAAGGCAAAATGCAAGGATGGTGGTACGACACATGTGTTACCGTGCATGTCTCTTATGACAAAGCTACTTTTAAAACCTATTCTGAGGCAAATGATGGATAGGAAGTACAAATGGGAAATGAAGTACGATCTAGAGTTGTTGGAACCGACTCTAATGAACTCAACTTCACTTCCGAAAAGAAAACCACCCTTGTCAATGTGCTTCATGTCCCCGACATGAATATGAATCTTGTTAGTGGGGATTTATTGGGAAAATCATGCATTAAATATGTATATGAATCTGGCAAACAAATATTTCCCCGTAACAATGTATTTGTAAGAAACAAATATTCCGCTGAGGGAATGATCAAAATTTGTACTACCGATAATATTATTACTGAAATTTCTAATTCCGCTTACATGGTTGAGTCTGTTTCTGTATGGCATAACAGATTAACACATACTGATATTAGTTCTATGAAGGGACTAATTAAATCTAGTGTGATCTCATGTAATATAAATGATTTCGAAAAATATGAATTATGTGTTAAATCATAGATGATTAAGAAACCTTTTAAAATTGTTGAAAGAAATACAAATATTCTTGATCTTGTACATTCAAATTTGTGTGAATTTAACGACATGTTAATTCTTGGGAGAAATAGGTATTTTAAAATGACCTTAATGTGGGTCTTCACAGACCAAACTTTTTTTCTACCTTGTTTGAGTATGTACTGCAGACTGGACTCCCAAGGGGTTGAAAAATCCCTAATCTCATAAAGTTTGCAGGGAATACTAATGAGTCTACAGGCGAGCACATTGCTCGAGATCAATCAGAGGCTGGGGTTTTGGCTAATAATGAGAAATTGAAAATGAAATACTCCCCAAACTCTCTGACCAAAAATGCCTTTATATGGTTCACCACGCTACCTCCAATATCAATATGTAACTGAAACCAATTAGAAAGGATGTTCCATGAGCAGTTTTACATGGGTCAGTCAAAGATTAGCCTGAAAGAATTGGCCAGTGTTGTTGCACCTAAAATGTGCCTTCTTATTTATAACCTTAAATGGCTTATGTTTCATCATCCCACACACTCATGCATTTGCATTGATTTTATGGTTATGGGATCAAAGGTTTTTATATTGATTATTCTCCTCATTCAGAAGAAGAGGTTTATGGTCTAAGATATTAGGAGAAGGAGAAATAATATATGATATGGTGTCATTCAAGCGACAATGGTGCAATACAGTTCAAAGTGCCTTAATAATATCTTTAGTTTATCAGGGTTTATATGGATTTGAAGTTGATCTCTAACTTCTACCAATTGGTCCCTAACTAGAGTTTTGGTTCAAATCAACTTGAGGTTGACATCATGACTAAGTTGTGGATTCTATGTTCAAAATGTGGCTCAAAGTATTCATGTATACCCCGGTGATCATATCAAGAACTCTCAGGGCATTTTAATTGATAGAGGTGGTTTAACCTGGTTGATTGAAAAGTCAACATTTTGGTCAAAGGTATCCTGTGGCTGATTCTTTGAGTAAAATATGATCCAAATGGTATTTTATATATATATATATATATATATATATATATATATATATATATATATATATATATATATATATATATATATATATATATATATATATATATATATATATATATATATATATATATATATATATATATATATATATATATATATATATATATATATATATATCAAGGAGCCCATATATTCGTTATTTGTCATCACAAGATAGTTCAATAATTCAAATAGATCAAAAGAGGAAGATTTGACCTAAGTTGATCGAGAAGTCAACAAAAGTCAAAGTATAGCCAAAGTGGTGAAATGTGGTCAACAAAATTATTTTCCATCACTTTTCTCAAAATCAAATAAATTGGTCAAAGAAAAGTCAAAGAATCAAGAAATAATGGGAATAAAACCCTAATTCAGAGAAATTAGGATTTTTCATAATTTTTTTAAGTACCAGGTGTTCATCATGTTTCAAGACCAATATCTCACGCAATTGTGGTTAAAAATTGGTAAACTTGTGATCAAGACAAAGAGAAAATTTCCTACTACAATTTTGTAGAAGGAATCGTGTACAAAAATGGCCCGATCAAAAGTTATGGGAGTGGAATGATGATGGTTCATTAAGCTTGAGAATTTGATGCTTAGTAAAATTCCGAGTGGTTTTCAATGTGTCCAAAGTAACTGACTTTAAGTCCAGTTCCATGTGGTTCTAGGCTCCATTTCAAAAGGTGTTCAGTTACAAAATTGTTCATCTCCTTACAATTTACAGATTTGCAGAAGGAGTAATGACTAGAAATACTTGAATCACGAGTTATGGATGATTTAAGTGGATAGTTCAATAAGCCTCAAGTCCAACACTTAGAGGAATTTCCAAAAGTTTCTCAACTGATCAAGTGCATGATTTTATGAAGATTTTACATAGTGATACAATTTGATTTTTAGAATCTCTCCAACTACAAAGATGTTCTACCATTTTTCTTCTTTCTAATGGTATCAAAAACAACTCATTTGGCTCACTATTGAGAGAGTTAGAGGTTCATTAAGTAGAGAAGATGAAGTTGGCAATTTGGCATTTAACTAAGTAAAATCTGTGTTGCATAGTCAATATTGACATTACGACTTAGAGATCATTTTTCATGGGTATACAAGCATTATTTCAAGGGATACCCAACATGGAAATTGTTCAGTAAAGTTTCCTCTCCCACTTTGATCTTAAGACCTCATCATGAGGAGGTTTAATCATTAAGATACATGCTCATCAAGAGATCTCCATGGGCATGGACACCAATACC